ATTTTTATACGAAAAAAGGCCTACCACAACAAAAAAGCGATGAATCAATAATATTTTGTAGCCCCTAGAAACTGGTGGAGTGTTATATTAAAAATGAATGCGCTACAAAACTGTATACTCGATATTTTTCTAGATAATATAATTAACTTCTAAGACCCTTCGTTGATTTTTTTATTTGTTTATAGTTTAAAAATCAGATTAAAAAGAATTAATGAATATTAAATAAACCAAAAGAAAACTATCAATTCTGAGGATCAAAGGGGACTCAAGTAGCGGGTAGTGTACATATACATGGTACATATATATGAAATACTCATCTATTAAAAACTCTTTAATTAGGTGGCTGCAGATTGAAGGTACGACAACTTGACAACATAAATTTATCGGAAAGATGGGAGATGCCAAGCCCCTTCCATTTTTTCTACCAACCTTAAAATTATATTTCCTTAAAACATTCTAGATTTTCTAATGCATTGCGATATGAATAATTTGAGAAAATATCGAATGTCGATTCTCGAATTTTTCGAATCGATTCACGGATCGAAATGGAATTAAAAAATCGACAAAAAATTAATTAATTAATCGATCTTCGATCTAGTCGATTTAAAAACGTCATCTCTAATACAAAGTACGATCGACATTTGTTTTGTATGGAGAAAATGAGCAACACCTTCCTCAAAAAAAATTGAAAAAAATTAATGCTGAGTCCTAGTTACTTAAATTTTCATTATCTAAAATTGACTGGGCTAGAAAACTGCATAGTCAAAATACTTCTAAGAAACCTTATTGAAAAGCTCCAAATTTTTATGAAACTTTGTAGAATTTTGGTAATTTTTGCACAAATTTTGAAATTTTTACTTACATGCATGGTTTTTTTTCAGATAACGAGCTTCAAGAAAAAAATAATAAACATAAAAAAACACAAAAGCCAAATAATGCCAAAAATTTCTCATCCCTATTTATATTTTCGCCACTGTGTGTAGTAAGATGTGTTTTTTTTGCTGCTGGTGCTACCGCTGACAGCGTATGTCTGCTATGTGCATGTGTAGATATACGCTGATTGTTGTTTGTATGTGAACTCATTTAGTATTTCGTTTCGTTTGTTACTGTTTTTGGCATCTTTTGAATGACAGGTTGTTGAAAAATTCAATTTACTTGATCGTCTCAGTGTTGCGCGATACGCGATAGCAACGGTGCTACTTCAACGGATTTTTCGCCATCGAATGAGTGGACAACAAAAAAAAATAATTAAATTAAAAATAAAAGAAAATTTAATCTTCTCCACACACTATCACTAGCGTGTGTGTGTGTATACGTGCTTTTACAGTGCTTTTAATATTGATTCGTGTTCGGGTATTTCTCTGCGCATGACAGTTGAAATAAAAGGGTTTTGTGATCATTTAACGATTAGTGTCAGTGCTAACTTAAATTATATAGATATATGTACAAGCATACAAATGTTTCTATATATATCTGTACATACCTATGTATGTACATAAAAAAATGCATACATATATTTTAATAACTAACTTGCAAGCAAATATTTCAGTTAGTCCTTAAAAGACGAGACAGTTCATATTTTATTATACGAATGCTTGAAATCAGACAAAAAAAAACAACCATGCGAATCTAC